CACACACACACACACACACACACACATACACACACACACACACACACGGAGGTAGCACCGGTGTGTAGAAATGATAACCTCCAAGCGGGGCATGATGGGTAATTTTGTGTTCCTTCTGCTTACCTGTGCAAGAATGAACACCTTTCTTATGTTTTACAAATGAGAGTGTTTAAAATATTTAAAGACTGAATGTAAAGACTGATTTCAGGCGAGGTCTGGCATCTCAGCCCGCGCCCGGGCATCGTGGCCACGCCCAAAGGGGCGTTTTTCTGCGGGAGAGAAGGTGGTCCTTTGATTCGAAGCCTCGCCACCTGTGTGGGGACTCCACCCTGCAGGGCTGTCCGGCCGGCCGCGTTCCAGCGCAATCCCGCTTAATCTCCCCTGAGGGGAAGGCAGAGGCCCCCGCGGTCCCCGCTGTCACTCCCAGCCCGTGGGGTGTCCTGGGCCCGGTGCTGGAGGCTCCAGGCACAGTGCCGCCTAATCCCCGACCCCCCGCTGAGGGGGCTCAGAAGGGACACCTGGTGGCATGTGCCTCACCTGCTTAGCCCTAACCCGGTCTCCACTTCCGGGTCCGCTCGGAGCCTGGCAGGGACCAGGTGCCCAGGAAAGACTCGCTACCCAGGGGACAAACCGCCGGGTCAGAGGGCCCCTCCGTGGCCTCCCGGTTGCCCAATGCCCGGTGCCTCCAGGCCGTAACCCCATGTCCCCCACGGCCCCCCATAGCCTGGTCCCCCGGCTATTCCTATCCCGGCCTAGGAGTAGCGTCATGGCTACGGGAGACAGACCGATGGCCTCCTCAGTCTGCTAGCTTCCCCTCCCCCTGCCTCCCACCATAATCACAACCTTGAAAGAGTTTTTATTTATTTTTAAACTTTTTTAAAATTGATGTCAGAGAGGAAGGGAGCGGGAGAGATAGAAACATCCATGATGAGAGAATCACTGATCGGCTGCCTCCTGCACGCCCCCTACTGGGGATCGAGCCCACAACCCGGGCACCTGGGTGGCAGGCGTTTGGTTGTGGAAAGCCGGGGCCCCCACAGGGCAGTGCCATCTGCCGCCAGGGGTGAGCCTCCTAGGAGGCTGGCATAGTTCCTGCTGGAAACCTTTCTAAACACACGTGCTCATACATGTGCAATGAAGTAAACACAGGCACACGAAGACACGGAAACACACATGTCCACATCCCCGTGCACACACGAGCAGACACACTCGCGGACACAGGCAAACGTGGCTGCACACAGGTACTCACACCTTCACCTAGGGCTCACTGCGTGTCAGTTTTTAAGTCCATCCTAACCCATTTTCTTTTTTTTCTTTTTTTTTTAAATATATATTTTATTGATTTATTTTTACAAGAGGAAGAGAGAGGGATAGAGAGTTAGAAACATCAATGAGAGAGAAACATCGATCAGCTGCCTCCTGCACACCCCTTACTGGGGATGTGCCTGCAACCAAGGTACATGCCCTTGACCAGAATCGAACCTGGGACCTTTCAGT